AAGCGGAGAGTCCTCCCAGGGAGACCTCCAGACTGGCTGCTGGACCGGTAGCTGCTGGAGCAGATGCCCCTGGACCTCCTGCATGCGCCTAGCTCGGGCCTGCTCCCTCTCGATGCGCGCCAAGGTCACCCCCTGCTGGGTCTCCATCCTATCAAGGCGCTCATCATACGCAGCCATCCGGGTCTGGTACTCGGCATGGTGAGCCGAATACTGCTGCTGAAACTGCATCTGATAGTCGTAGAGCTGCTGATTCTGAAGACGCAGCTGCTCGAACTGCTGAGTGAAGTAGTCCTGTCCGCGGAAGGTGGAGCTGCCACCCCCATACTCGAAGGTGGTGGGGCGGGCGGCAGCAGTATCATCCACGTCCTCGAGATGGACCTCCTCTTCAGCTGCACCCTCTAGAACCTCCAGCTGGACCTCCTCTAGGATCTGAGGTTGAGGAAACCCCTCGATCCACATAACACCTTGCACTTCTCGAAGCAGGTGCATTTTATTGATCGTAAACCGGCCAAAGACACTGGTGTCTCCCTGCTCTATGCACCCCTGCAGGGGTATCTGGAAGTAGGCTGCCAGGCGGGTGATGAGGGGAGTGCAGTGGAGTTTCTTTAGCTCAGAAGCACTCTTGTCGAAGGTCCTCGCCACCACCGAGCCCAAGTGGAGGGGATGATCCCTCTGGCGCATAGATTGGATGAAGTACATGGCTCTCTTGGTGATGGCGTTGGCACTGTCCGAGGCAGGAGTGTAGGACTTGGCCAGCATGTGATGGAGGATGCGGTTGTCGAGCTACAATGTGCTGGCCTTCGTCTTCCCCGCCCTAAAGGGAAGCTGACCTGGCCGAGCGAGGCAGGTGTACAATGTCCCAAAGTCCACCCCCGCTGGCTCGGTGCTCTCGGTGATGTAGTCCCTGTCATCGACCAGGTTGAGGCCGAGGGCGTTCGCCAGCTCGTTGTAGCTCATGGATCGTGGTTCACCGCCGAGCCTGAACTTGACGGCTTCACCGTCCTTCCAATCCTCCGTGTCTGCATGCTCGAAGGTAGTGTAGAACTCGAGCACGAGCTCATGATAAACCTTCTCGCGAATGTTGAGTAGGCGGCGCTAGTAGCGGTTGGTGACAACGGAGGAGAGTTGCTCGTAGCAGTTTAGCTTCTCCAACTCTCGCTTGGACCAGCAATGATGCTACCCAAACTTGCAGGCCAGGACGTTCTTAAAACGATCCTGGTGGGGCCCCCTTCTCAAATCTTGAACAAACTGGTGCCGCAGGTTGGGCTTCGTCATGGTCCTGCAAAAGAACAACCCAAAGTGGAACCAAAAGAGCCAAGGAAAATGTTAATCACACCCCCACACTTAAGAACAGAAAACAGCCGAACCATGGTTTCATCCATAGTTCGGGAGTCAAAAACTCGATCAAACAAGCATAATCGGGGGTGGGGGTGCACATCCATGGTAAAGTAGGCAACTCAAGGTTCATATCCATACCAAACACACTCTCAAAGCACAGCATTAAGGGCTCCAACCAACTCCCACAAAATGGGACAAAAACAGGCATTTTATAGAACACCTTGTGTGCACTATTAAGATAAACATGGAATTGACAAAATTCTTGCACACAAGGGCTCATAAAAGCAAGGGGGACAATGCCCAACACAAGTCATACATAATCCAAGCATTCCCCTCCATCAATTGCATACAATTCACATGATTCAAAGGGGTTCTCTAAACATGCACCCTAACACCCAATTCTCCATAAAAAACATAGTTAAGGTCAAAATCAAACCTGGAGACTCAAGTAGAGGTGTAGGGGATGATGAGGGGAATGCAATGGAAGCGACGAAAGTCCGAAAAACTGCACGGAAGTGCTCGTCGGAGTCTCGCCGGAGTCTCGCCAGAAATCGCCTTCGGCGACTCAAAATCCAGCCAAATCACCTCAAAATCGAGGGATAGGCCGATAATGGGGAGGAAAGGGTGGGTGTGATGTTGGATTTGTGGAAAACAGACCAAAAATGGCCAAAAATCGACAAAGATGGCGAAAAGGCGCGGTTTTCCGGCGAGGGGGAGAGATTTTCGGCGAGGGATTTGGGATTTTCTGACCACTCGGCCGTGTCGGCCGAATTTATCGGCCGTGGCTCGGCCATACGGCCAGGTTCACACGGCTGTGCCAAGTGAACTTTTGTCCGTGTCGGCCGACACGGGCTGGCCGAGGATTTTCCACACGGCCGTGCGAAAAGCACATTTGGCCGTGTGAAATTGTGCGAGAGCTCACACGACCAAGGAGGATTTCCACACGGCCGTGCCACTATCACAGCTGGCCATTTGAAATTATGCGAGAGCTCACACGGCCAAAACTTAAATCCACACGGCCGTGTGACATTCAGGGCTGGCTGTGTGGGCTGCCAGAACTCCGAAATTGACCTCTTTTCACTCCAGAACGACATACAACTCGTGAACAACCCATCAAGACTCAAAAATCACAAAAAATCAAAAGGCAAAAGGTAAGAAAATGCAAACCTAGGTGGGTTGCCTCCCCACAAGCGCTTCTTTACTGTCTTTTAGCTGGACGCCAGTAGAGGAACTAAGGGTCCTCGAGCTTGATCAGCAGTTCTGCGCGCTCAACAGCACTTCCCAAATACAACTTTAGGAGGTGGCCATTCACCTTGAATGGCTCAGTTTGAGCATTGCTGATCTCCACCGCACCGTGCGGGAAAACTTGGGTGACCGTGAAGGGTCCCGACCACCTCGAACGGAGCTTACCCGGGAAGAGTTTCAGGCATGCATTGAAGAGCAGAACACAATCGCCTACTTGAAACTCTTTCGGGCCCCTCAACCGAGCATCGTGGAGACGCTTGGTGAGCTCCTTGTAGAGCAGGGTGTTCTCGTAGGCGTGGTAACGCCACTCCTCCAACTCCAGCAACTGCAACTTACGTTCTGTACCCGCAACACTCAAATCAAGGTTTAAGAGCTTAATGGCCCAGAAGGCCTTGTGCTCTAGCTCTACCGGCAAATGGCACGCCTTCCCATAGACAAGCCTATAGGGGAGAAGTGCCAATCGGATTTTTATAGGCAGTCCTATACGCCCAAAGAGCATCATCGAGTTTGGTGGACCAATCCTTGCGGGACTGATCCACCGTCTTTTCAATTATTCGTTTTAGTTCCCGGTTCGTCAGCTCGGCCTGCCCATTTGACTGGGGATGGTAGGCCACCGACACCTGATGCTTAACGCCATTACGAGAGAGGAGTTTAGTGAATTGCCCCTGAAAATGGGTTCCTCTATCACTAATAATGGCGCGAGGTGTCCTGAACCGGTAGAACAGCTGCTTCAGAAATGAGCAGACCCGTCTTGCATCATTGGTGGGCATGGCTTGAGCTTTTGCCCACCTCGAGACGTAGTCCACTACAACCAATATGTACAGATTGCCAAAAGATGGAGGGAATGGGCCCATGAAATCGATACCCCAAACATAAAAAATTTCACAAATAACAGAGATATGTTGGGGCATCTCATCCCGGGAAGAAATGTTACCTGACCTTTGGCAGCGGTCGCACTGGCGTGCGAAGGAGTCTGCATCCTTCAAGAGCGAGGGCCAATAGAAGCTCGACTGTAGCACCTTCCGCGCCGTGCGGTTTCCTCCATGGTGACCGCCAGTAGGTCCCTCGTGACATTGAGACAGGATGTCTCCCATCTCGTGCTCCATGACACAACGCCGGATCACGCCGTCTGCTCCGATTCTAAAGAGGTAAGGATCCTCCCAGAAGTAAGGCTTCAGATCGGAGAAGAACTTGCGCTTTGCATGAGTAGCTGACACGCCAAACCACAACACCAAACTGCGACCAAGAGTAATCGCAGTCCGGGAATGCAGTAAAATGGCAAGTTCTATTATCAACCCGGGGTCTAGATCTACTGCTTACTCCGTGAGTATCTATTATCTAGCCAACTAAGTTAAGTGTTTGTTGTTTTAAGCAAAAGCAGATTGAAAGCAGGAATTGGTACGGTTTTCTCAAGCAAAGAAGAGTCCCTCGGGAATGAGTCCCCCTAGCTCCTTAGTTAGGTTTCAATTGTAATTTCCCTGGGTTGATTTACTGTTGATTAGACTGCGGAAGATCCGACAGTAGCTTGGAATCTCTTAAGCTGACCAAGCCCTCTCAGTCTAACTACCCGGCAGACGACTAGTCTTCATCAGGATAGAAAGCTGAAGCAATAAAAACAGAACTCCACTACTGCAATTGGATTCCAGTACAAAGCAGTAAACTGGCTAACTCTCGTATAGCCAATCTCCTACTACCGAATGATGAGGCTCTAACAACCTAATCAGATTCTATCTATCTCAGGTTGCAGCAGAAATCAGGAAAAGCTTATCAGACTTCAATTGACTCAATAAACATGCATCATTTGATTAATACCAAGCAGTAATATCATCCCAAGTCATTGCAATCAAATCCCAAACACATAGAACTAGGGTTCTTCATACCCAAGTGAGAGAAGGGTTCTACTCCATAGAGAGAGAAAGGGAAACAAAATACAGAGTATTCATACTCATAAAGACGAGGAAAATCTGCTCTGGGATGATGATTTCCACTCCTATGACGATCTCCAAGCTTGATTTGATGAAACCCAGCTCCAAGATAGCTTCTAGGATGTGTTCTTCGTACTTTCTCTCTCCAGGGCTCTGTTTTTGCTCTGAAAACTCGATTCTCTCACTGCAGCCCAAAATTGGGTAAAAACCAAAAATTCCTGACTCACACGGGCAGGGCCAGACGACCGTGTGGCATACCCAGTTGCCCGTGTGAGGTCAAAACGCTGCGTTCCGAATAATTGGATTTCAGGCTTCTTACACGGCCAGGGTCACACGGCCGTGTAGATCACCCAGCCTGGCCGTGTGAAGCCTCGCATAATTTCACACGGCCAAAGTGCAACTTCACACGGCCGTGTGACTATCAGGGATGGCCGCGTGAAGGCTCGCACAATCCCACACGGCCAAATTGGTCACTTGCACGGCCGTGTGGCTTCAGTGTGTGCCCGTGTGGCTTCCTTTTTTACTTTCCTCGCGCCCGACCTTCGTCCAATCGACCCTGAACTCGCTCCTAGTATCACTGGGTTCACCTAGGCTTAGCTTTTGAAACAGTTTATATGGCATGACATTTATGCTAGCGCCTAAATCCGCCAAGGACTTCCCTATATGCAAACTACCAATCATGCAAGGTATAGTGAAACTCCCTGGGTCTTTTCGCTTCTCTGGTAGTTTGTTCTGTAGGATGGCAGAACACTCCTCGTTGAGCATCACCGTTGACAGCTCCCCAAGCTTCCTCTTGTTGGTGAGGAGATATTTCATGAACTTGGCATACCTAGGCATCTTCGATAATGCCTCCACGAAGGGCATGCTTATATTCACCTGCTTCAGCATTGCCATGAACTTGGCAAACTCAGACTCCAGTCGGTCCCTGTGCAACCGAGTAGGAAAGTGGAGCTGGGGTACATACTCCTTCACCACTAGTTGCGGTTTAGGAGCAGGCACCTCAACCTCCTTCTCCATTTCATCTTCATTAGCTGGAAGTGTTGAAGCAGGGGTCTCTCTCTCTTCTGCCCGAACAGGTGGATCGGCAGTCACCTTGCCACTCCTGGTGGTAATGGCCCCGCAGTGCTCATTCGGGTTCTGCGGATGAGGGATGGTCTGACCAGGTAGAGTACCAGGAGGCCTCGTAGCTACAGCCTGGGCAACACTCCCAAGCTGGGTCTGGATATCCCGCAGAACAGCCTGCGTGTTTCTCTGACCAGCTTCTAGCTCCACAAATTTTTCGGAAGCTTTCTCCATGAACTGCTCGATGTTATTGAACTTGTTTGCACTGGAGGTGGCCAGTGAACCCACCAGATCTCGCAGTTCCGCCATCGGGTCACTCTGAGCTGGGGATGCAGGTGCCGCCCCTGTCTGCTGAAATGGCCGCACCTGTGACTGAGGTGGAACTGGCCCCTGTCTGGGCGGGTAGAGTGGCTGCTGTGGCTGCTGAAATTCCCCTTGTCTGGGCTGGTAAGGAGGCCTCTGGAAGCCAAGTTGTCCCTGGGGGACTGGTGGTCTGGAATTTGCCCCACCCCAGGAGAAGTTGGGATGCTGGCGCCACCCCTCGTTGTAAGTGTTGCTGTAGGGGTTGAAGCGCCTGGCATTACTGATGAAGTCCACCTGCTCCTGGGGAGTAGACGACTCCCTCATCGCCTGACAGTCCTCCACGGTGTGATGGGAGCTCTCACACCACTGGCAGTGCATCGCCTGCGGCTGTCTTGTACCTGTAATCAATCCAGAGCGATCTATGGCTGAAACCAGCTTCGATACCACCTGCACCAAATCAGATGACTGGGTGGCGACAGCATGCACACCCGCCCTGGTGCTCTTCTCGATCTCCTGGAAGTGCCCCAATCATATCCCTGCTCAGCCATCTCCTCAAAAAGTTGATTCAGCTGTGGCGGCGTTTTGGTGAGCATATTCCCGCCACAGACCGAGTCAATCAGCTGCTTGTCCTCCGGGAAGAGAGCATGATAGAAGGTTCCCACCTTGAAGGCATCAGTAAAACCATGGTTGGGACACTTGAGGAAGAGACTGGTGTATCTCTGATGCTCTAAAACACAACACCTAACAATGGCCAAGTGTAACCAATGAAAGAGACTGCAGTATAGTGGCACAAGTAATAAATATCGAATCCACGGGTCTCTAGAGTTACTATTACTCAGCTTCAGTTCATTATCTAGCAAACTAGATTAAGGATTGATTAACCAAACTACTCTACTAACTAAACTAAGTAAAACTACTAATTACAGTTTGGGAACTCACTTAGGTATGATTCCCCCTAGCTCCTCAATTAGGTCCAAGTTGTAATTCCTTTTGGTTGATTTACTGTTGATTAAACTGCGGAAGATCCGACAGTAGTTTGGAATCTCTTAAGCTGACCAAACCCTCTCAGTCTAACTATCCGGCAGACGACTAGTCTTCACCGGGATAGAAAGCTGAAGCAATAAGCACAGAACTCCACTACTGGAATTGGATTCCAGTACAAAGCAGTAAACTGGCTAACTCTCGTATAGCCAATCTCCTACTACCGAATGATGAGACTCTAGCAACCTAATCAGATTCTATCTATCTCAGATTGCAGCAGGAATCAGGAAAAGTTGATCAGACTTCAATTGACTCAATAAACATGCATCATTCGATTATAATCAAACAATATAGCATCCAAAACTTCATACAAGAAAGATCCTAACTCATGGAACTAAGGTTCCTCAAAACCTAAGTGAAGGGAAGTTACTCCATAGAGAAGAGAGAGACTGCAGAAATCTGATCTAGATCTTCAATCTCCATCTCCAAGCTTGATTCCCGAGCTTCAATGGCGAAGAAATCCTCCAAAATAGCTCCAAGAACGTTCCCAAGTCGCTCTCTCTCTCTAGGGTTCGTCCCTTGGGTGTTTGGGATCCAAAACCCAGCTCTCCCTCTTTCCTTTTGCTGAAAATCGAGTTTTAAACAGCAATTCCCGACTCACACGGCCAGGCCACACGGCCGTGTGGCTTTCCCAGCTGCCCGTGTGAGCCCTCGGTGATTTCCACACGGCCATATGGCCAGTTCACACGGCCGTGTGGGTCGTGCCCGTGTGGCTTGCTCAGCCTCTATTTAATGCTTCGTTTCTCCCTGTCCGGACTCGGAACCAGTCCCCGTTTGATCCCAGACGCTCGTAGTCTCGTCCTCTTTCTTTTCATACAAAGCTTGCATGATTATTTGTCCATAAAGTAAGGTAGAAATCCATTCTTCTTCAGGTCATGCCCGAGTTTCTTCTCCCGAATCGTCAATTGATCTCTGATTGATTTGAAACTTGCGCCTATGCTTCACTTTATGTGCTAGGACCTGAAATGTGACAAAGGAACATAACCTAGCATAAAATAGGCCAAAGACACGATAATTCAAGCTCAAACAATCAAGAAACAAAGGGGAAAACATGTGCAAATACCGAGTCATCAAATCCCCCCACACTTAACTGTTTGCTTGTCCCCAAGCAAACCTAACTCAAACCAATGCAGCTCTCCAGAGCTCTATATCAACATACAACCCCGATCGTCGGTAGAGGATTTCCTAGATCATATAGCAGCTTACGAGGTCAACTGGTCTTCTAAGACGTTCCCTATCTCTCTCAATGCGAGTACTAGACTCAAACCAGGATCATGAGAAAAAGAAGAAGTAAGACAGTCAGTTCATGGATAAAGGGACTCACACCATTCACAACCAAGGATTCGTTGTACCGGGGTGCTCTTTCACTTCATTTCACCGTTGGAACCCCTTTTTCTCACTTTCATTTACAATTTTTCTTTCATTTGGTGGGGTTCCAACTGCAGTCTTTTGCACGGTCGACCCTTATTAGTCGAGCAAGAGCAATTTCTGTACATCTGGAGCTCGCCAGAGTACTTCTTTTAACTCCTTTTCCTCAACTCGTGTGGAGGGTCAATGAAATTAAGGGGGGTCGGAAGCTCTATCCGTGCCCTTAAAAACACATCCTCAAGTAGGCAAACCGTTCAACGGGTGGAAGTTTTACTTGTACTAGAGACAACTTAGCTTCACCTTGTAGGAGTACCCCACTAAGGATCACTAAAATCTCTTCCAAAACCCGATTTTGTGCAATGAACGGTGCCGCACACGTTGGGCTTACCCCATGTTTAAGATTTAATGATTTTCACATGGAGGACCAACTGCTTCCCATTTTCCATATGAGCACCCTGTTCGATACACGAGTCCATAACATAATCCAAACAGAGTCACCATTACCACCTGAATTCAACGGTCTTAGCTCCACTAATTCACAAAATCAACTGGCACAACAGAGAGCTAGATAGGAAAAATCTTATACTTCAACATCCTCCATAGTGCTACGCTACCTCCCTAGGTTGCACATTACTATAGAGACTGTCAATTCAAAGCATACTGAGCAGGCAATTTGCAAGGAAACACGTACTTGGAGCCCGCAAATTTAAAAATTTGGACAGTGGACTAGGCTCCAAGCACACAAACAGCCAAACATTCACCCGCATACATAATTGAACACCCCCCCCCCCCACACTTAAGCACGACATTGTCCTCAATGGAGGAAAGATAAGGAGGGTAGAACGAAGTTACCAGATCAAGGGTGAATGATGATGTACGGGTCAGGCAGTGCATTCCAGGAAGAGAGAGTAATCAGAACACAAACACCACACAAAGTCTCACAAAGGTTGAGTTATTGACTCTAAAATCAAATAACAAAACTGACTCAACCGAGGAGAAATAGAGAAAGAAATGCAAACCGACTGGTTGGGTTGCCTCCCAACAAGCGCTTCTTTCACGTCGTGAGGCAGACGATGGCTCCTAAGTTTCTGTCCATGCTAGAACCTCCTTGAAGTTGAGGTTCTCGTCGATGAGGTGGAGTCTCAAGTCACGAGCATGTGGTGTGGCAGGTGATGAAGGCTCATGTACTTGATGCAGATGAAGTCTCCACCCTCGAGACCTCTTCTTCTCTTCTCTCGTCTCATTGCCCCAAACCAGATATGACAGCATCGATTGACCACCATCGCGTCCACCAAGAGGGACCGATGTTGATGTGGCCTTGGTCTGGCAAAGAGACACTGCAAATGGGTCCTTGCCAAGCAGTTCCTCAAACTTTGGTGGGGATATTACTTGCAACTCATGGCCGGTGCATGCCTCTTCCACCTCAACTTCATCCTCAGCCTGGACGCCAATTGCTTCCTCAACCCCCCTTCCTTCTTCAAAATGTGGTCTCTCCCCTGGGAAAAGATCAAGAACCACCTCTTCTTTTCTTTCTTCCTCATCATCCACAACTTTCTTCCTCATCCTTGCTCGCTCTTCTTCTTCTAGAACAGATTGGAGAGCAAGTCGCCAAGCAATTTCTTCAATGGGATCATCTTGCATCTCCTCGCACGGGCCCAACATGTTAGAGCATAAATGAGGAAAGGTGTGGTCTGCAACCAAAGGACTTTCCTGATCATGGTTATCATGGGAGTTCTCTGTGATAACTTCTGTATGCTCCTCAACGCTCCCATAGCCTTTGTCATCCTCCACCTCTTCTAGCGTGGCAGCAGAAAGGTGATCTTGAGCAAGATGTGAGCAAACTTGCTTCACCCACTCTGTTTGCTTCGCTGAGCGCTGAACAGTCTCCTCCATATCATGGAGAAATGAGGGATCGGAAGTGGCAAGGGCTTTGATTTGAATATCCATCTTGGAGCATGATTTCTCAGTGTCTCGAGCAAACTGCTCCACGAGAAGCCTTAATTGTTCGTTCGGATCCTCCAGTGAAGTGTAGCATGGCTCTGCAGAGTGGCCCGTGAAGGCCGCCATGGGTAACTCCAGCTCCGATGGCC